GGTACGTTACCTCAACTGCACTGACCCCCAGACCCATTTCTACCACTTTTACAAGACGAGTTTGGTAATCACTAATAGCAGACAGTGCACGCAAGCACAGGGAGAGAGGTAGGAGATAAGCTAGCAGCACACCTAGAAGCCATAATGTGGCTGGCAGCTACAGAAACACGTGCCACAGACATTGAGCGAGGGGCACAGATCCACTTAGGAGGCTATATTTTGGTGCCTGTCACTCCCACAATGCACTGCACAAAGCCGCTGACTGCGGGCTCCCACCTAACCGATCGCATAGGCATGAATATGCATATAATGTATGCATATTTGGTATAATATTTGGTATATGCATATAACGTGTGCATATTTGGTATAATATTTGGTATAATAGTTGGTATATGCATATAATGTGTGCATATTTGGTATAAAAAGGGTGATTGCATAAGAGCGAATTCATACATACAGAACCCACATAAAGCAAGGGAAACCTGTAAATCTTTTCTTTTTTTTTCATGGATGCTTCAACAAGATCTGTTATGGTCTGTAACTGTTGCCTACGGAGGTACAGATTCATTACCTCTGTTTATCAACTTCCCTCTCCTTTCCTTTCTTCCTTGGTTTTCTCCCTCTGCTACCACAGTCAGTTTTACCTTAAGTAGCTCAGTAAATAGCAATAAAGAAGAGTCAACAGCATGGCACATATTAACCTTGGCTGTTGTGTGAATATCAGATACGGGCATGATTTTACTTTTAGGCTGCCAGTGTTTGTATAGCAACCGATTATACATGAACCTGAATTTGTGTTTCCCATGCTTTGCCTGAACTCCAGTACTTTCTTGAAGTAAAAAGAGAAAAAAAAATTGTACTAAGGAATGAATATATTAAAAATAATTTCCCAAATTCCCAACGAGAATTATTAGCCTCCCCCTACATCAGGGTTACAGGAAGCTGGCATTGCAATGTGCAATCGGACATTAAGGCAGCGTCAACCACATCATGACCAAGGGCAGTACAAGGGATTCCTGTTTAAAACGCATTAACCTCATTCCTTTCTCCTGTGTTGTCATCCAGATAAGATTTAAAGCAGAGAACAAGACCACAGCTCGTCTTTCTCAGGTTCCTTCAGAGCAGTGAGTAGGGGTTGCATTGTGTGCTTGCTTTTTTTTAGCCTGGCTTTGAGCTAATGGCTCGTTCTCCTAAGGGACCCTCTGTGAATAGCTCAGTGTGGATTAAACTGTATTGCTGTTTACATTACAGGCATATCAAAATGCAGAAGTGACCTTTCAACAGGTACTTTCTTTTGGAAGGGGGAAAGGAAGATAGGAAAGTTTGATGTGCTGTAGCAGGCAAATGCTGCCTGGGGCACATCTCTGTAAGTGGGGAACACGCAGCCGGTCGTTCTGCAAGATCAATGGGTGACGTGTGTCATCCAGTGAAGTAGATCAGCAGTGCTGGGATGCATACCAGCAGTACTGATCCACTTCATTGGGCGACATCTATTTCTAGCTTCAGCCTATCTATATTCAATGAATCAACCGTCTGTCTCTAATAGGACCGACCAAAACACCAAGTCCAAACATCCCTGGGCTCAAAGGTTCCCATCCTGGGCATTGTGGGTCAGAGTCAAACTCCAGCTGGATTCTTTGAGCCTTCATAGAACAGGGTTTAGGATGTGGGAGGGTAGAGACAAAGGACGTGGCCATTTGAGAGACGCAGTGCAAGGAGACCTTTTTTGCAATCATATGCATCTCATTACTTTAACCACAGCAAACTCTTCTTCTATGTCTGCTGAGTTATGATAGACAGGATAAATTGAAGTGTGCCTCAGAATGAATTGGTTAGTGTTGGGGCAGGTGTTGGAATTTACATCATGAATACAGCAGATTCTGATTCATTTTAAAATGTAACAATCCTCCCTGAAAATTGCTATGCTCTGTAAAAGATCAGGAAAGCCGCCCCATGTTCCAGGTTCCCTTGTTGTGCAGTTCATAGCTATAAGATTAATGTTTTACTGAGTCAAGACAAACTAGGTTATCTTATCAGCAAGGAGTATGCATGTACATCTCAGGAATTTAGGAGCACAGTGACTTTCAGTGGGCCTCTCCGGTGTTTCAAGTAGAGTTGGCTGGAACTTGTTTTTCTTTTTGATGACATAGTTTCTTGGCAGGAAATGGTAATGTATGAAGGTTGAAAATTTTCCCAGAAACATATTTTTTTCAAGTAAACTTAAAACTTGTCAGTATAGTTAATCAGGTGCAGAATAGCACATGCCCCCCCAAATAGCCAGTGGCCCAATCACCAGGGACATTTGAGACCCAGGTCCAAGGTGTTACACCAAATCAGATGAGCAGAGACTTGTACCCGTCTCCCCCACCTCCTACATGAGCGTCTTTGATACCCATCCTGCGGCTTTAGGGGAGGGTGGGCATCTCATTCGTGTTTCTTCATAACAATGTGAGAGTCTTATTTTCTTCTCCGCGGCAATTAAAACCAATCTGAAAATCCTGAAATTGTTGAAAAACAGAACGCTTTTCTGAACAGCCCTATTTAGCAGTGTATTTGCTTTTGCCACGTTTAAACAAGTTAATGGCCCTGCACAATCTGCACCTCAAAGGCAATCTCTGGATAAGCCTGCTCTTCTGGTAGATCCTAGGAAAACCTATTTCTGTACGTTTTGGCATAATCCTATACATAAAAAGAGTTAAGTTTAGGGGCCCAGCATTTTCCTTTATACACTCTACAAGAAATGTCCTTCTCACTCTCCTAGCTCTCTTCTCTAGCTTCTTCCCCTCTGGGCTTTCTCCAACAGGAAGACTTAACAGGCGGGTGAAGAATACACATGCCCAATTACAAACAACATCTTGTTTAAATAGGAAAGAAGGATCTTGCTTAAAATAACTTTAATAGACTAGTTCCTGCGTTCAAACCACAGTGTCCCTTTGGAAGGGCATGTCATGTTCCAGCCAGGCTGGGTGAAGGGAAACATGAAATTTGGAGCTCTGACCAGGCTTGTTTAGGAGCCAGACAGTGTTAACAGTATTGAGTGTTGCTACTGTCCTCCGAGCGGCAGTAAATATTCCCATAGGAAGGTGAAGTGTGAGAGATCAGGGTCTAGCGTGGTGTGTGGGTTGTTTTTTTTTAATTGTGTTTGGGGTTTTTTAATTGGGTCATACTGTAATGATATAATTGTTGTTGCTTGGTTTATTATGCCGGCTTTATACGTGACAGAGATTGCCTCTAGGGATAGGCAAACCGGTTTGGGTGAAATAGGAATCCTGCTCCCTCATCCCTACCAAACTTTTGTATAATACTGTACAGTACTTCAAACTGGGCTTTTTTCCTCAGTTGGCCAAATAGAAACATTGGGTCCAAAGGGTGCAACTCAGTCCAAGTCACTGGGCTTTGTGCCACTTCACACCACTTCTGGGTTTCCCTGCCATCTGCCTATCATCTTTGCAAAAGCTGTAGTATCAAGCAGTAGGAATGCCAGCCAGAAATGTGTCTGGTCTAGTAGCTGTTATTCAAAGGAATTATTTCATACGCTACATGGACTGATGAAATACAGCATGTCTCTGCTAGTTCCTTACCATAGTGATCATTTGGTTATTCTAAGCTAGTGATTTTCAACAGGGGTGACGTGAGATCCTTCTAAGGGTGCCACACAATACTAGCATTATTAGTATGCAATTACACATTATTCATAATATAAATGCAGAGATTTCACATAGAAATCCACAGTGGCAAAAGCATTCTTTCCTGTTGTAGTCTTTCTGAGTTCTTTACAACAAAAGAATTGCTCTGTTATTTTCCCATAGTCAAAAAGTGAGTAAAAAGCTAAGAGCTGGCATTTTCCAAGACAATTCAAGCCTAAAAAGTTTGAGAACTACTGCTGTAAGCCTTATGAGCTGATTGCAACTGCTTCATTCAAACAGCAGCTGTTGCTTTCAGAATTTCTATGAATTTTTTTTTTTTTTTTTGGAAGAAAATGTAGCAATAGACCCAAGAAACACTTTTGAAGAAGATAGCTTCTGGAGGAGTTACACATTTACAAGGGGGTAATTTAATTGTGCAACTGTAATTATGTTGGTAACCAACAACCCAAAAAGCGGAGAAAGAATCAGACAGGTGTATGTGACTTAGACATAGGTAGATCTTAATTTTTATCAGCTCCAAGTTAAGATCAGACCGCTTGGTAATTTTTATATCTTAGTTCTAACGTAAAAAATAGTCAGCTCCGTTACCCACTTGTGAGTTCTGAATTTCCAGACGGTGTTCGTAACCAGTAACTATAAACTGCAAAATAAGACTTGCAACATCTGGGATCGCAGATGGAGAATGTAGTTTGAAATGTTTATGAGGAAGCACATTCTCCTTCCATGTAAACTGTGCTCATTTGCTTTGCTTTGTTTAAAATAAACTGAATTATCATTCCATGGTTATGAATAAGAAGGTCAGGATATTGCTCATCAGTTCAACCTCTTCCCAGATACTCACACCAACAGTTGGCTGGTTTAAACCTGATGATCTCCCCTGATGCAGATCAGTTTGGTCAGATAAGTTCTCAAATTTAGGATTTCACTGTGATCGCCATTTAAAAGTTAGAATGGGTGTACTGCGAATACTATAGTAAATGCTGGTATGCCATTAGCTGTAAGTTCTGATGGCTTTTGAATAAAGCTAAGCCAATATGAAAACTTGAAAATGTGATAGATTTGTGCAATACAATATGTAAATGCTGTTCTAAAATATGAAGACAGAAGTAACCATTGTAGTACACAGGTTGGGCTCTACTAAGTAAAAAATATTGGATGGGGTTACACAATACTTGTAACTGCTATTCTTAACCTTTATCTTGGAACAGGTATTACAGAATCTTGAATGTGTCCCTTTTGAAAAGCCCTTAGGGTCCTTGCTTACTCTAGCAGTATCTGGAAGCAGTTTCTTTAAACATCTGTTGAGGTCAAGAAATTCCCCACTAAAATTTTCTTAATATGTCTTTTCTGCAGGATTCAAACATTACAGTGCAAACTGATAATCCAGACCTAACACCGTGTTTTCAGAATACCATCCTTGCTTGGATCCCCAGTATTTACCTCTGGACGGCCTTCCCTTTTTATATCCTTTATCTGAAACACTACAAGAGAGGATACATCATACTCTCTGTGTTGAGCAGGCTCAAGACGGTAGGATCTTTCTGCAACTCTTCGCAAAACTCTGTGCCTTTGGAGGGGAAGGGGGGTGTTCACATATCTACATGGAAGCAAAGAAATGCACATTGAGGGCAAACTGCAAGTAAAAGGGAACTGGGTATGCAAATTCCTTGATTTTTCTGTAGATTATGGTACAGTGTTTGGTAACAAGGAGAATCTTTTTACCAAGCACCGAAATTTTGGTGAAAAGAATTCATCCTGAAAGCATAAGGCTTGATGCTTACCAACCCACTTGTTCATGGGCCTATGTAAATGTCTTGTCCCTTATGTCTCCTGTTACTTTTTTTTGATCTAGGTATATGCCCTGACAAGATAACCTAGCAAATATGGTTCTAAATTATCCCTTCTTGATCCTCGCCATCATTTTCCCCTTATTTTATGTATACACACAATTAAAAAATGAATACTTCTGTAGTAAACAGGAAGGTTGACACAAGAGCTAAGCAGATGGCTAGGAAGCTGGATGGGCAACTTTTGCTTCACGTTCCACATGTGCTAATCAGTTTATTAGACGGATTATAAAGAAATGCTTTGCATAGATACCGAGCACTGAACACTGAGGCATCAGGAAGCTTTGCCAGGGATGTAACAAACCTTGGCTTGTTTGCCATCACCATAAATTTTGACTTTTCTTCCCTCAAATTTACATTCAGATGTGATGCACTAAATGAAGGGAGTGAACAGAAGGAGGGGAAGGGGGAGAGGGTTACAATGAAGAGAGTAAGCCTAGTACAGATTACAACTCTGTAAGCAATATTCGTACCCATCAGGTTGGGATTGTGTGCTTGAAGACTTCTGCAGTGTTGCCAATCCCAACTACTGGACGATTTTAAATCAGCCTACCCCAAATCATGAGATTGGTTTAAAACCCATGAGGCTTTATTTTTAAAAATCTTAGTACATTTATGATTTATTTATGATTTTTGAGCCTTCTGGATGCCCTTAGGTATTGTATTTTAAAGAGTTCAAAGCTTTCCCCCACAACCATGAGGATTAAAACCATTTTTTTTAATGAATGTTGACATTCTCACACATTTCTGTGCTCCAGGATTTTAAGACAACTGCCAAATTTCAGGAAACCCATGATAAAATTGCACGCTTTGACAATGCTGTCACAGAGACATGAGAGCGTGGCCTGATGTGAACTGCAAGGACGCACCTAGTCTACAGGATACGGTTCACTTCTTTGCTAGAAGGAGACTTGCTTCAGACCATATAGTCCTCATTTAATCTCTACATTGAGGCTTTCATTGGTACATGGTCGTTATGTTGAGGCCTCTTCTCAGAAGTGACTTTTACTTTATGGGTGCAATCACAGTTGGGGACTTTCCAAGTTATTTTGCAGGTCTCTTTATAATTAGCAATGTCACAGACTGTCCCAGTTTCAGGTACTTTCTGAACATTTTCTAATTCCCATTATATCTCTAAAAGGTACCGACGTGTCATTATTATCCTCATTGCCCAAACAATAGGAGGGAGAGTTAAAAGCCTTTCCAGTGCCACATTAAAAGCTTGGACAGGGAAATGGAGTCAATCCAAGGGTAAACTTCTGGCCTCCCTGTCCAGAGTATGCATCACTAGATGCATCTCTTTCGAATCAATATCCAGCCATTTCTAATTAATTGGAGTCTGTCTGCAGAAAACAGATAGATGTTAGGCTTAACCCTGATCACATTTATCACCCCTACAAAAATAAATGAAGCAAGATCCTCAGCTAGTGACCGTTGCAGCAGTTCCATTGATACTAGGATCCCCACCTGGTTTACATCAGCTTTTCACAGCTCAAGTGTAGGGTGATGCAAACCCTGTTTCTGCATGTGTGGAAGGAATGAATCGCATGCTTTTCCCATTTAACACTACTTTTCTTTTAGTTTTTAGGCGTTCTGCTTTGGTGCGTCTGCTGGGCAGACTTGTTCTACTCTTTTCATGAACTCCTGCAAAGCAGAACTCCACGCCCCGTCTATTTTGTAACTCCCCTAATTCTTGGCATCACAATGGTAGGTATTGGTTTCCAATTAGTAATAATGATTAACAACCGTATCATTCACTGGGACAAAATAAACACCAGTAAATGAATGGGGTAGGAGTCATATATTGTGTTCTGCTTTAAACCAGAGAATCCTGTGGATCAGGACAGCCCCTTGCATTGGCCCTATATTGGCAATGTTGGGGGAAAGCAGAAGGACTGAATGAACCTTGAAAAATAAATTGCTCTCCCAGCCCTGGAGCTGATCTCCTCATGGGTTTGACATGGTAGCAAGATGTTGGCGCGGGGAGCAGAGGTGCTGGCTTTGCTTGCTGCCGTGTAGCTCTGTAGCTGATACATGAAGCTCTGGCAGAACCAGCAGCCTGGCACATTTCAGCATCATTAATTATTCTCTCTATTTAAAAATAACCTTGTTTAACCTGAAATGCTAATATTTCACTTAGGCATGAAAAATATGGGTTTCTGTAGAAAGCCTTAAGTGTAGGCCATCTCCACATCAGTGAGCCCTAAAGCTGTCAGGTTAAAACCTTGCAATGGAAGGTATTGTTCTGCATCACAGATTTGCTAATGAAAAATTTCGCTGTTCTGCCCTAACTGCGGTTGTTGTTTGGAGAGAAGCAATTTGTGTTTTATGTTAGGTTGGTTTTGACCTCATCTGAGCTGGGAGATAATGGAGCAAAGCTTGTGCTTTCTTGCACACCGTATCAGGCTGCGTCAAACTGAGCAGCAGCCCAAATCAGAGGCACGTTCTTAACTGGGCAGAAACCAAATTCCTGTTGCTTAAGGTCTCAAAGTGGCTTCAGGTCTCAAACTGGCTTTGAGCTGTGCACAAAAAGGTGAAACACTAATTCATGAAGCTTTTAATTCCCTGTGGAAAATTAAAAACACAGACAAAATTTTGATTTACCTGCCTACAGGAGAGAAGTGACCTTGTGTGGAGAGTTTAAAACCTGTGTCCCTAATAATCACAGCAGTTCCTGAGTGCAAACACGATAACCTGCAGTTTAAAAGTAAAAACAAAGCTCAAAACCAAGGGCTCTGAGAACAATTTATTCCTTAAGGCCACTCTTGGCAAAAGAAAGTTTTGCCTTTGACTTCCATTGAAACGAGCTGGGCTTTTACAGGCATAGTTTGCAATGAAGTTTGTAGTGGAGGTTCTGCCATGACAGTGGTGATGCAGCTGCTAGGTTTTCTTATGGGCACACGATGAAAGGGCAACTAGGGAGAGCCGTGAGATGTGTATTCATGCATTTCCACCTTTACTCTTTGCAGTTATTAGCTGCGATCCTCATTCAGTACGAACGACTGCGTGGAGTTCAGTCCTCTGGCATACTCATTGTGTTCTGGTTTCTATCTATCCTCTGTGCTCTGGGCCCCTTCCGATCGAAAATCATGTCTGCAACGACACAGGTAAGCAAAAGATTCTAGGGGAATCTAGGGAAGTGTCTCTTGGCTTGGGAGAAGGAGTCACCTGGGTCATCTCAACATGAATTTTGCCAGAGAAGAAAGGGAAGTTTGGCGTTAGTACCTTGATTCAGTCTCTAAATTAGAGGGAATGTGTTGCTTTACATCAGTATAATCCAGTGGGGATATTCAAGGGATGCCCCTCTGGAGGCTACATTGGCAGGAATCTGAGTGCTGCAGCAAGTTCATATGTAGCGCACAGTATGCAGCAACCTCTGCCTTTTAAAAGAGACTGAGTAGTGAGCAAAGAAATTAATTTGGGCTTGAAATTGTCCTCCTGAGTCTGAACAGTTTGGCTGCCTTGCACAACTCTATAAAACCCTTGACGTGGGAACAGGCTTCTGACTCCTACAGCGGCTTTTACCAGAAAGCCAGAAGTTAGTAGAAGAAAAACAAAGCTTGGCTGTTACGATTCCCATTTTAAATACAGAGTTGGTTTTGTCACGGTGAGTGAGGGATTGCCAGATCCCTTATCAATTCCCATGTCACAAATAAATAAATTGTATTGCTTCAGTGATCAGGTCATCTCAGGCCTGGTGAGAAAAGTATTTTTTTAAAACATTCAAGCGTGCTATGTTTGCCTTGTAGACATATAGCAGATAATTTGCTTATTTTTAATAATAATAATCCTAGTTTGTTATTACTATTATTATGATTCTCTCAGCAGGAGAGATCTTGATATGCTAAAGTGCATGAAGCACTCCAGTAGAGATTGAATTAAACTGTAAATGACAGTCTGTGCAATATTCATTTAGACAATTCAATTTGAAAAGTACGGTAACAATGAATTTCCTTGCTGTGGCCCCTGCCACCTCTCACCATTCACCTGGGTGGATACAATTCTATTTTAATTTTTTAAAAAAGGCCATCAAAAAAGTCAAAATACTGACTTAGATCATGATGGAAGAGTCTTTATTGGTGACTAATTCTTTAGCAAAACTAAATGTGAAGCTTGGGTACCCTGTAGACATGGAGCTTTAAAGCAAAACCCTGGACAACATCTCTTCTACTGGTCTTGCAGTTGCCAAGGGCTCGAAGCCCCCTCATCCTGACATTTAATGATTAGGCATTTTGTATTGACAGTGAGAACATCCAGAATTATATTAGGCAGGATTTTAAAAACTTGTTAAAGCAGCGGTTCCTGAGTTCCCTCGGCCAACAGAGCACTGCTAACCATCAACATCTCTGGCCATCAACCATGCACTCTCATCAAAATTTTAATCAACACAGTGGTGGAGTGGACCCAGTGTTATCTGTGGGCCACAGGTTTGGGAATCATTGATATCAGATATCAGCCTTCCCACTCAACTTCTGGGGGCTGACAAGAAAATGACAGCAAATGAGAATGTAATTGTCCAACACACAGTTCCTTGCATCTTCCTCTGAAAGCATCTGGCACTGCACATTGCTACAGACAGGAGGCAGGACTTGATGGATCCGGTGTGCTGAGGTGCGGCAATCCTGTGTTTCTGCATTAAAGGCATGATCCTGCAAGCATCTTGGGGGTACCCCTAAGGATCATGAAAGCAGCCTTATGCAGAAGAGGTGCTGAAACATTTATATAAATCCTATGATGTCATCAGGACTTAATTAGAAGTTCGATGCACACATTTAGGTGCGTTACCACATATATCTCACATTTGTAAGAGTTATTCCTGGTAGTTAGTTTTGCAGGATTCACTTCCAGAGAAACAACAGACTGGCAGTAGGAAGTTCAATATTATTTTATGTTGAACTTACACAGCCAAATGAAAGCAATCCTTTACTTCCTTTGCTCTCTTTCCAGGGCCAGGTGAAAGACAGATTTAGGTTTGTAACATTTTACATCTACTTCGTATTGATAATCATTGAGTTGATCCTTTCGTGCTTTAAAGAAAGGCCTCCATTTTTCTCCCCCGTTAATACAGACCCGGTAAGTACTATCTTTTTTATCTGACTATATTCTAGAGGCTTAATTCAGCAGCACAAACAAGAACATACTAACTGTATTTGTAGCTCCATTATTTTATAATAAACACAAAGAGCACTTGGATGGCTTAGGGCACGTTTTCTCAATCTTCATATATTGGCCTCCACAAAATCAGAAAAGTTCTCATGACTTCTTGTATTTATTTTAAAAATAAGATTAAAAACTCCAACAATGATAAACTGGAATAATTATTCCAGGTATGTGTTTCAAGAGGTCAGTGGAGGGTTTTTGCCCTTGGAGGGTAAAAGTGGGTGGGGAAGAAAAAAGTGAAATTTTTTTTGCTTGAGATTTGTAACAAAATTTTAAGTATATCATGATCTTCCCTCCGTTTTTTCCTGTGACCTTCTGGTTGAGAGAGACTGTTTTAGGAAATGAGCCATAGAAACTTTTGCTTCTAGATCTACAGTTCAAATCCACTTCAGATCAGTCATGCCAGAAGTTGGTTACTGGTCTCATCACTCAGATGTCTTAAATTACCACTCCAATTTTTAAAATAGTCATCAAATAGCATATTTAAATGTAAGTTGATTGTTCCAAAAGGTATCTGAGGAGGGGTAGACTTTAGTTTGATGAACATCCTTTTAAAGCTGGGTAAAATCTCAGGGTTTGCATCTATTACTATAATAAGCTGTTTTCATAAGAGCTTTGAGGAGATGTAGAATAACCTTACCATATGAAGGAAGTGATGTTGAGAGGTTAAATTGTTACTCAACCTTTCTTAAATGGTCCCCACAATTGAATATATTTTTGCACCAAGCTGGGAGGGCATGTTCAGGTATAAAATTAATTTCTTCTGAAATCTAAGAATGACATTTCATTTTATATAAGTATGATTAAAAGGCAGCCTGAGCTGTGGCTATTAAGGAGTGAAAGGAGCTCTGTATGAGATGACAAATGAAAGAAGTTGTTTTCGCTTCATGTTAGGGAACAGTGCAGAACTTGCTTTCCACTATATACCAAAAAAATGACTCAAACATCTTGTGTTCTTTTTAAAGCCATATTACTTCAAACATGTTGGTATTTTTTCTAAATGCAGAATCCATGTCCAGAGTTGAATTCAGGCTTTCTTTCAAGGTTAACATTTTGGTGGTTTACAAGGTGAGCTTATCTTGTCAAGACTTTTATAACCCATTTTTGGCAAAAAATATACTGGACAGCTGACAACCAAAAAAATTACTCCGGCGCTGTGTATTAGATAAAGTTACTTGGGCCCAAATACTTCCCTCCTGGTTGTTCAGTGTTGCATGCTCTTTTATCCCAAGGGGTATCTGCACTGCAGTGGTGGTGGGGAAGGAATTTTTCACATCTGTCTGGGAGTGGCCAGTGATACCCAGACTATCTTTCAGAAATGTGGAGGTGGAACAAAAAGTGGCATAACTAAGAAGCAAACACCAGGATCTGTTTTTGCATACATCATCCTGGAAAGCTAACAGTAAATAAAGCTAGTTGTGTAGTCATAAGTACATGTTGCATTACAGGAATAATACCAGCCACCTTTAGTCCACTTGGGGATGCATTTTATTTCCTGTTGATATTTGCATATGAGGGTCCCTTCCCTCCCCACAAAGGACTCTTCTATGTAGTAAGGAAATAAAGTTGAATTAAATCGCGCCCCCACGCCTCCTGGAGCATGTGTATAAATACCCATAGGTGTTATATGTGGGTTGAAGACGCAAAGTTCAGACCAGGATTCAAATCTAACATTTTTGTTCATCCCATAATAGAGCAGTGAGCCCACTGCAAAGTTCACGTCTAGACCCAAGCTACCCTTAAAGATTGAGCATGTTGGGATCTGGGCTTTTGACTCAGTCTTACAGACAGTCATTTTGATGGCCCCGGCAGTGTCATCTTATTAGCTATTGTAACAGCCCAGAAAAGCTATTTTTAATAAGAAAGTGAGATGCTTAAAACTCCAAAGGGATTTCAATGCGTGATTCCCATGAGAAAGTATCCTCTAAGCAGTTTGAAAACTTAATCCTGACCATGCAATTGAAAAATAATATTTTTCATTCTTTTGGGGGAAAATCCAATTTTCCTTTAATCATTTGCATAAGCTTGATTTTGCATGCATTTGACTCAAACAGTAAATCAGGTTTAGCTATTTTATTTTCCTAACATCTTTGTACTCGCATGTAAAAGCATAAATCTTCTGCAAATGGTGTTATTGTTTTAAAATTGTTTTCACTGATTTTTTTTTTAAGTTGTGACTTTTTTTATTTTTAAATTAAAAATGGTTTTCAACTCAAACTTGGGCCTAAACTTCTTGGCCTCATTCTGTTGAACTTATAATACAGTTTTTGCTTTTAGGTCTGATTATTACTTTTAATGTAGGAATGTATCTGCTTTTTTCTTTTTCTTTTTCTTTTGCTAGCTAACTGGTTTCTCATATTAATGGATGCTTTTAAATCTATCATCCAAAATTGATTTGGACTATGATCATTGTTTTTCTGTACATAGCATGGCAATTCTTGGTTACAAAAGGCCACTTAAAGAAAAAGACCTATGGTCACTGAATGAAGATGACACCTCGAAAGTGGTCGTTGGACAGCTGCAAAAAGAGTGGGATAAACAAAAAGCAGACTGCAACCAGTAAGTGTTTTAACCATTCAGCAAGCAGAGGTTGGTCTCTGAATTATCTCAACAGATGTTACACGTATAAAGAAAATGTCTACTCTGAATATGACCTACATAAAAACAGCATCTATCTACTTGCCCAGTCTCTTTTCTGCAAGTATTCAAACTGCTCGAATACAGTGATGGAAACATGAGCTCTGGTTCTCTGGGGCTCATGCTTCATCTATAAAACTCTTGACAATGTTTTTTTAAGAGGTTGACTACACAGGGAAGCTATTGTGAAACAAGCTAGAGTGTGCATTTAAAGCTTCAGAGCTGGTGAGTGAATTTTATGTAGACTAAGTGTGTTCATACTGGGAGGCAGTCCAAAATAGGCACTGCAGAATAACTATTCCTGGCTACTTCCTTGTACTTACAGGCTTAAGTTTCGAATTGTTACTACTGGTAATGTGAGAGCTCACAGAAGCTGGCTGAGTTCACAGCGAAGGAATAGCTGCTTGTTTAAAAATGAGCAAGTTTGACCATAGACCAGTGAGACGCAGTAGATAACAAACCACGTCACTTTTATTCTCTGACTCACTTTTCAGATCAGATATAAAGTGCATTTTCAGAAAGAAACTGCTGCTTGCCCTGGACATGAGATGACAGATCTTAGCATAAAGTATTGGGCTTGGGAATAAAGAACTAGAAATAAGCTATCTTGTCTGGCTTTTCTCTTGAGACTATTAAAGAGATCATCCCAGCAAGTAAAAAAACACAAAAAACAAACAAGACCCTAATCCTTTTCCTAGTGAAGCTAAAGGCTTCCCATAGCCTTCAAAGGTAGCTAAAATCAGGCTCGAAATGTAAATGTATTTAACATGCTAAATAAGGTATTATTTCACTTGGAAACTCTCAATCTAATCTAGAAATGCAAATATTTGTTTATCACTGTATCTTTCCCGCCCACTGACTGGTATCAAATGTGTTTCTAAGCAAATACTCACTCTGGCGTCAGCTTTAAAGTCATAAATTTTAAGAGGGGCCTGATTTTCCATTTCCTCCAGTTGTTGAATTCTTTGTTTTCCAGAGAGACTGCTCTGTTCCCCTGCTCTATGCACTCTTGGCAAATTGGAACACCCCCATTATGTGACATTGAATCTTTCATAATAGTGTTTTTGTCAGGGTTAAATATATGAGAAGTTAGGGTCTGATTTGCAGCTACGTTTTGAAAAGTTTCCAGTATTAACAGAAAAGGCTCAGCCACTGGCTTTATTACCTGGCTGTGTTTTGGGTTGTTTTTTTTTTAAAATAAGAGTTCAATTTTTATGGTAGAGAGTACTGTGCATTGTATGTGATCTGCTCTCTTAGTGTACAGACATAATCCAGTTCCTCCAGTGGGCATTTGTGCAAGAAGAACACAGACTTCATATAGAAAGGCCTAGGGCACTCTGAAACCTGAAACCGTGCTTGGGTTTTCATCAAAGGTGTCCATGAAACATGGGATGGCTTACTGTGAGCTTTCCCTGAATATGTGACTTGTTATAAGACCAGGCAAAACGTTGTGTTAATGGTGCTAATGGTTCTGATGCTTGGAAGGGATAAAGATGAATCAAAGCCAAGCAAAAGATTCCTGTGAAGCTCATGTCCCAGATCTCTGAGCTTCACATAGCTCTAAAAGCATCTTGTATTGGGTAGCTAGGTTTATTTTTTTTGTTGAAAATTATAGAAATGTATGATTAAATTGCCTGCCAGCTGTCCGTTAAATCTACATTGAACAGGCTTATGAAAAATGTATTAAAAATGACATGGCAAGCAGTGGAGTTCATGCATTGAAACTTCAGACTAACGGAGCTGAAAAGGTGTTAGCAACGTTGATAATGTCTTAGACAGTGTAGCCGAGGTGTAGTAGGGACAGTTAGGTATAAAGCAGGAGTGGGCAAAAATACGGCCCCATCTGCTCCCACTGGGGCAGCCCACACCATGCTCCCGCCGATGCCTGCCGGCCTGGGCCCTGGCTAGCGTGCAGTGTCTGGTGGGGCTATTCCTAATGCAGCTTCTGGCAGCAGGATACTGCTCTGCTCCCCTAACCTCCAGCAGGAGCTGCCCCGCTAAAGCTGCCCGCCTGCCTGGAGCGGCACATCATGGGCATGAACAGGAGGAGGAGCTGCTGCCGGAGGCAAGGGGAGCAGAGCAGCACTCAGCTAGCTGCATCCGCACTGGGAACAGGCCCACCACAAGCTACATGCTGGCCAGGGCCTGTGCCAGCAGGGCTGTTCAGCTCCACTCACCTCCAGCTGTAGCCTCTGCCCCTGCCACACCACTCTGGGTGGGCGGGAAACTTCAGCTGGGCAGCTCCGGCTCTAGCTCCTGGCTGCCTTCCTCCAGCTTTGCCCAATGCCCACCAGCGCAATGAGCAGCCACCTGCAGGTGGGCAGAGTGGGTGGAAAGAAGTTGGGAGCTGGAGCTCCACGCAATGGGCACGCACATGTCCCCTCCACACACCCCCATACACCCCTTGCCCCCCGCACACACAGGGCAGGGCATGCAGGGCATGGTTCATACCTGTCCCACTCCCGAATACAGCTCCCTGCCCACCCAAAGCCCCAGAGGGAGTTTTGGTGAGTTGTTGTGGGAGGGTGGCAGGTGCTAAGCCAGCCCATAACAACTCATCAAAACTCCCTATGCGGCCCTCGGGCCCAAATAATTGCCCACCCTTGTTTTAAAACATACTGTCTCTCTGGTACAGCCACAGGTTCAACAAAACAGGGAACTGTTTCTTAATGTTATATTCCGGTTGCTCCTAAACCAACATAATGGAAACTTTACATTTAGGTTCATGGTGCTGTCTCAGATCCATCTATGTTAAACAATCGGTCATGAAGCATTGGAGTTTTTAAACAGAGGTTTTAAATTGTAGGGTGAAGGGTGAAAATGAGCAAGGTATCATTTTGGAACCAAGGATTCTAGTTTTTTGTGTGTCTTCTTTATTTGCATATGTGCTCCCTGGCTGTTTCAAATCCTGTCCACGCACTTGATTGATAAAAGTGCATTGTTGCTCCAGTGAGAACTACAGAGCCAGTCCAGCTGTGAGGGAGGCACCTGGAGTGCATGTCAGATGCCAGCCAAATTGCTAGTTAAGATCTGAGTGCAGAAACTTTGCTCTTGAGGAGGTTGCTGGAGACAGAAGGCTGTGCTTTCTCAGGCAAGAAAGGCGTGCATCTTTGCTGTAAACAGCAGAGGCATGGGTGGGAAGGAAATGAGATGTGGTCAATTTGACACATTAATATGATGTTAGCCTTGCCTAAGTACTTACTAGTAAGAAATGTCTTTTTTCCTCTTAAGATCTTATGAGATAAAATATGGTAGGCCAGTTCGTTCACCATCATTCAGCAGCAAAGACAAAGCCAGATGGAGCTCAGCATGATTTGTCAGATCCTCTGCTGTTTACAGTCCTGGTGACAAGGAAAAAGTGTGTATGTGGGGTGGCGGAGTGGGGTGCCTGCAAACTAAGCAGATTTGATCTGGAAATTGTATATTGAACCTGGTGAACACTTTGCAACAAATGACTTTTAGCTGGTGTACTTTTAGCTCTTTGCAAATGGTCTACAAGCAGGTCACAATTTCCGCAGAGGTTTTCATCCCAAATTAAGTGAACATGTTTTTGCTTGTGGACCCTTTGCCAAGGAATCCCTCTGCCTGTGTGCAGATTGCTTGAATGGTAAGGTGGAGTCTCCCCTGTTCCAGTTAATAACAGAGCTCCAGCACCTGCTAACAAGGGGGCAGCAGGACATTTTGCCGTTTCTTTGAGAGAGAAAGGTGAGGGCCTTACTCCCGTCAGTGTGGCTGGGACTGAGAGAATCAGTCTCTACTAAATGCTTAGTTCTTGTTTGACGTCCTCCATCAGTAGATCTCAGTGCTCTATAAAGCAGGTAAGTATGTTTAGCCTCATTGTACTGATGGGAATTGGGATTTCAGAGAGGAAAAGGGCTAGATCCAAACAAGATTTAGGCACTAAATTGGAACTTTGAGTGGAATTTAGGCATCTGCATCCAACTTTGCGACCCCGAAAAACCTTGCTCAGCTGGTGGCTAAATTCTGTACTTGTCGTTACTGCAGCTTGTGACCTCAAGAGTTCCCTGATTGCTAAAACGGCAGTCATGATGGGGCTAAGTAGCTCAGTGCCTGTTTCACCCTTAGGTCCAATTGCGATTGTAAAACTAGATAGTCCTCTGCCTTTCTCCCCTGAAAGGCCTCATCCATTACTTGTGCTGAGGATCAGGCTGCACACAAAATAGTGACAGCCGTTCATTTTAAAACGTGGCAGAGGGAGAAGGAGGCGGTGGCAATGATCCCTAATGGTTAGGGTGCACACGCAGAGTGTGGGCCACTCTGGTTTGATTCTCCTCTCTGCTTGAGGGAAATGAAACCCACCTCTCCCACCTCCCCGGAGGGTGGCCAGCTATGACTATCAGACTATGAACTACATAAGCATGGGGCACTCTCTACCCCTCTTGTTGAAGATGTCCCATTATACAGAAAAAAAAAAAATTAAGATTCATTGGGCCAAGGCCAGCATGACCCTTCCCTAGGTCTCTTTGTGGATCTAGTATAAAGTGCCTTTCCCAAGGCCACAATGAAGGCTGGTGGGAGAACTAAGAACAGAGGCCAGGTTGTGTCTTTGGTGTCCTTGTTGGGTATCCTAACCACAGTGGGCACTTGTACACGTGCTCTGGGGGGTAGGGGGATGGCACTTTAATTAGAGAGGCTCCAAGAGCTGCTTTAATTAAAGCACCGCCACGTCTCGTTTATTCGCATCCCTGCACTTCAAAATGGTGCGGGGATGCTTGAACTAAAGATTGTTCGACGAGTTTTAGTTCAAGTGCCCCACCGCCATTTGGAAGCGCGGGGACGCTGATACATGAGACGCAGGAGGCTGCAGGAGTGCAGCGATGGCCATGCTCCAGCTGACTCGATCGAGGGAGTCTGCTCCGACGCGCTGGCATTGCAGTGCATTGGAGCAGCCTCCATGCTGGTGCGTAGGTGCCCTGTGCCACGTGGCATCCATAACACGGTTATTTTCAGCTGACAATACCTACTTGTTTCCTGGTCCCTAGGAAAGAGGCCATGGCATACGTGAAGAAATCTAGCCATGTGCTGAACCATGTTGGTGATGGCCCCAATGAAGCAGAACCTTGGATTGACAATAAGAAACAGCATAAACAGCCCTCCTTCCTCAAAGCATTGCTACGGGCCTTCGGGCCATACTTCTTAATTGGCTCTTTCTACAAGCTGATCCAAGATCTACTTGCTTTTGTCAACCCTCAGTTGTTAAGGTGAGTTTCTCCTACCAGTAGTTTGTGCGCACAATCCATGTGTAACCCTGGCTTCAGAGAAAAACCGAGTTCTTGCAATGCATTATTAGTTTCCCCCACAACAATGCATGTCCAAGCGTCATACCTTTCACATCAAAATGGCAAGACAGGCCTCCTTTCATATCTGTGAAATGGTAAATCAGGCTTGGCAAGGACGCCTACCAATGAAAACCCGGAAATCAGGGGTTGTGGCTAAAGGGCAGCTGCGTGCTAAAAACAGTCTACTGCAGGGTTGCCCAACTGCAGCCCACAAGGGGTTAATATGCAGCCCTGGGGCTCCTACCCAGCCACTGCTCCCCTTATCTCCCCACCTCCCTCCCTCAGCTTCTGCTTCGTGCTCCCACCCAGGAGACAGGGCAGCACAGCCCATGATGCTGAGGGAGCCCACAGCACAGTGTGGTGCAGTGAGGAGGCCAAGGTGGGGGTCATCCATGCACGCACAGTGGAAGGATGTGGTGGGGAGGCACTCCCCCTGCATGTTGTACAGCTGTGGTGGAGGGCTAGACACATGTGTAGTGCAGCAAGCTGTGGGGTGCAGCCCAGGGGCCCATGGCTTCCACTGCTGTAGCACTTGCTGGTGCAGCCCCTGGACTCTTCCAAGTTGAACAGGCCTGGTCTACTTTATTTTGCATGGCAGCCCAAAGTGGTTTCTTCTTTCCTGGGCAGGAGCATTGCAACTAGGTTCTAATACCACAGCAGAGCGGTGCATTCTGGGACCAGTCGATTTTGGGTACATATGATATCTGCATCAGTGATGAAGGCAGCTGCAGTATACTTCGTTTTGTACAAATTGTGGCTGTGAAGCCTTTTGCTAGTCGGGCGCTACTAAACACGTCCCTAGATGGAGTCGTCGGCACAACCGGGTGCATTCTTAGGTCCAGGTGGCCATGGGTGTTGAACCACAGGCCGTGGGTTTGGGAAGCCGTGAGACTAACTATTGGGCGGTGGCAGTGGTGAGAACGAGGGTGGGCAGATGCAATAAACTTTCCACAACCTTGCAACACAAATAAGAAACAAGATACTAAAAAGAAGATCCCGCCATGAGTGAGAATCTGGTCAGTAGCTCCTTCCCCCCCTCCTCTCTCTCTCTCTACCTGTGGTACACCCCATCAAAACATTTTCCTTTCCTACAGCCCAAGCCATAAAGGACTTGAATCATCATAAAGTGGCTGGTATTCCACTTCTCTTTGTTCTGATTAATTTTCATGATGCACAACTCATTAACTACAACGAGTGTAGTGATGGAAATATCAGAGTTTCAAGGAACCGCAGTTGCTTGTCACCAAGGTGTTGGCATTATCTAGTTATTTGTGAAAGACACATGGATGTTTTAAATGTTTCTGGAAAGAATAACAGAGCCTGCATTAAAGTCACAAAGGACTATGGGGAATTGGAGAAGAGAGGACTTCTGCTAGCTCTACACAGAGCATTTTCTTATCTTTGCAGATCATGCTGCCACGTGGGTGGTTTGCATAACACTCAGGAATTTGATAGGAAGGGGACCCAATCCAATATTTCTCCATTTTATAGTTCACAGTCAGCAGCTTGGAGGAGGTTGCTAGAAGGTTTCAGAGAGAGAGTTGTATCCTGGGAGCGTCTCAAACCTGCGTAGATGCAAAAACAAGTTTAATGTCGTTGTCAGTCATATCTCCCGGCAGGCCATGGCAAATCTATGCAGGCATCTAAAATTCCTGTGAGCAGCCCCAGGAAAAATATTGTGGTGCCAGGGAAAAGGACAGCTGTCTGGCAAGTTTCTTTTCACATAAAATAATTTTACATTCCTAGCAGGATCACTAGGGTACATGCTGGGTCCATAAGCAAAAGCTCGTACAGTCTAATCGCTTCATATCTGTCGGTCGGCTGCTGCCTGGGAGGAAAGATAGGGGCCAAAAGGGAGCATTTATTTTTGGCCTCCTTGTTTTTACACTGTTTGGGACCTGATCATTAGTTTCAGCAAGACCGCGTAGCTTAGCTAAAAGTCATTGGATCGACGTCAGTTTGCTCCAGCTGATTATGTGACCCTCTACATCAAGTCATAGGTCCTCCATTTCTCTGACAGGCATGGTGGCAGCTTTGAAATATCTGATTCACGGTACCACGGTGGTAGTTTGAGCTGCATGACACTGTGAGTAGCATGGTGTTGCAGTGCGCATGAATTTTCTTAGAGAGGCCAGATGGTGAGCAATGCCTGGGAGAGGCTGGAGTTCCCCACCGCCGGGTGCTCATGTCAGTGTTTGGCAGCTGCATCTCTGAAATGTTCGAGTAAAATGGTAGCTCATCTTGCATCCTGGAGAATTGTTTGCCAGGTGCGGTTAGAAGGCAGATTTGACAACCTGCCATGGCTAAGGGAAGCTGTATGTTGTTATGTCCCATTAATCTTTCTTCTTCTTTTGTTTTATTTCCCCTGAACCACTTTAAAAACAGTGTGTTAATTGCCTTCATTAAGAATAAAGATGCTCCGTCCTGGTGGGGATTTTTCATTGCGACTCTGATGTTCATCTGTGCCATGTTGCAGACACTAATCCTTCACCAGCATTTCCAGTACTGTTTTGTTACTGGGATGAGGCTGAGAACAAGCATCACTGGGATGATCTATAGAAAGGTAAGACTGGAAGCATTTAAATTGTCCAATGCTTCTGTGTATAGTCAAGCAAGTAGCTTCAGTCATTGGATAATCATAGAAGAACAGATAGACGATTATGGGGAGAAAGCAGCCTTCGGAAAATAGAATGAATGCTCATTTTTTTTTAAGTGTCTTAATAAACCTTATGCTGCTTTTAGAAAAAAGCAGCTCAATGTGGGTGTGTTGACAGGCCATCATGCATACACACTTAAGTATTGGCTTCACTTAAATAGTCAAAGAATTGTGTCCTTAGATTCGGAAAGAACAACGTTTCATGTTTTGACTTTATCTAAGAAAATAATAATCTAGCAAAGAGGCACCCTGAACCTTTCAGACTGGAGGAGCTCAAAAGCAAAATGCCTCATGAAATCCTATCCCTACAAGTGAATTAAAAATGATTAATGACTGACATCATTGTTTTATGGAGAAACATTTTCTCAGCAGAGTACCTGCCTTTCTTTGTGCCTGAAGATTGATTCAAGGTTCACAGTCCTTGCGGTCTCTTTTCATTTTCCAGTCCTTAGTCATCACCAACTCAGCAAAGCGCACCTCCACTGTGGGAGAAATTGTCAACCTGATGTCAGTGGATGCCCAGCGGTTCATGGATCTGACGACTTTCCTGAACTTGTTGTGGTCTGCGCCACTTCAGATCATTCTAGCTTTTTACTTCCTCTGGCAGGTACAGAAATCTTTCAGTTTCTATGCCAGGGACATGCAGATCATTTCTTTTTTCTTGGTTTTTTTTTTTTACACTCTACTGCTTTTGGAAACTTCCATTCATTATCTCTTGCTTTGGTGTAAATGATTTACACAGGTTTACCAAATTAACTGGATTCAGCTGGACAGCCAGAAGAAAATGTCTGAAGCAAAACAATGACCTATTATATAATGTTGCTGCTTCTCTAGCTCATGAGAACTTGTGTAATATAATATACATATAATCTACTTTAGTTAGTGTAAGGTGCATATTTACCCTGCCTTGTACTTGACTTGAGGCTAATACAGCTAACTATGTCTATCATCTCAGCCATTGATCCTTATAGCTCTCTACACATACCAAAGAGAGCAGGATAAAAAGATAACGTCATAACTCAAGGAAGTGTCCTGGAGTAGATAAAGTATATTTTGCTGTATGAGGAAATGTCATGCAAAACAATACAGACAACATTTCAGACTAGCATATAGAGACACCACCCACCTGCTCCCATAGAGTTTAACACTGCATTCAATGTTAAATTATAGCTGTATGTGAACAAAGCATTGTCTTCCAGCACTTTAAAAAGTTCTCTTGTGTCAAACTTGCTAAGCCTGCATGTCCCAATTCAGACCCCAAGTAACATACCTACAAGTGCAGTTACATTTTAAAGAAAAGGGACAGAAAAGAGTAGGAGAAAGAAGAAAGAATTATTATTCCCACTTTACAGATGGGAAAGCTGAGGCACAGAGCAATTAATGATTTGTTGCAAGGTCACACTTGGCAGGGGTGCGTGCAAAATCAGAACATAGGTTGCTTGACTACCAGTCCAACACTATATCCATAAGACAGTCCTTTTCCTAGGCCCAATTGTATCTGCCATTGTGAGATTTCAGGACTTACTTTCAAAATCAACATGATTTCAGTTGCGTGAAATCAATGGCTGGTTCCGGAGACAGAGCATGCTGCATGGTGCATGGTTAAGTAGCAGTTTGATAGTGGAGTATGTGGTATTATCTCTGGAGGAAATTTGTTTTTCTGACTGCATGAATGTAGACTGCAGCAGTGGATTTTGGGGTGCTATACCCACTACCAGCTTCCTCTTCCTTACGTCTGTGAAATAATACCTTTGTGGTACCCAATGAAAAGCAGTGATGACATTGTAGCCCTTTCTAGTGAAATGCAGGAACCCATCCTGTGACTCAACCTAAAATTGTTGGTGACTAGGAAATGGACCAGTTACATTTTCTGGCTCAGAGGGAAGTCAGAGGAAATCCACTCCGAGTGTATATATGCCTGAAACATTTCCACGTACTTTTATTTCTTTTTTCTGCTGCTTGCATTTATTTCCTACAGATATCAAGACGCTCTGCTTACATTAGTCCACACCTGTATTCTCTTCCTACCAACAACCAACTTAAGAAATAAGTACTGGAGTTCTCAGGCATCATCAGTGCTAGTATAAAAAAGTCATAACTTAGGGTCGTGCCATGATAAAGAAGTTATATAACGAGGAGAAGGGATGTAAAGCCAGGACCCTTTACTGGAAGGATGGGCGCTCAAACTGTCCTTTGTTAGTGAAGCAGTTCATTGCTCTTTTCAGGGCTATGTCTTTTTAATGCTCCCTATAGGAGAAAATATCATTCCAGGAAAGCAAAAACCTATATTTTTCTTTTCTTTTCAAGACTTTGGGGCCTTCAGTATTGGCAGGAGTTGCAGTGATGATCTTGCTAATCCCATTCAATGCTGCAATTGCTATAAAAACTAGAGCATTCCAGGTAGGTAAGACACACAAATATCTTATAACCCAAGGTTGAAAGTCCCTCTTAATTTTTTTTTAAACAAATTACCTTCTCATGAGACTGTAAATAATTCAGTGATTACAGTTTTAAAATCCTTCAATTTGATATTGATTATTTTCCCCATTGAATTTGCTGGGTTTCATGTCTACATTTCACTAGACTTAGGCACGGAAGCCAGCCAGGCTATGTTTCATTTCCTCATTCTTGCACGGTAATATGATGCTGCTGTTTAACTTGGCAACACTGCAAGGGAGTGCTTAAAAGAATTCATTCAAATGTGGAGACAAAGTTTCCTTTTCCTTTTTTTTTTTAAATGCTGTTCCACCCTTAAAAAAAACACCCAAAACTTTGTAGCCCACTCTAGACCTCAACTGCATGAGAGTGCACCCTTTTTATGGAGTCCTTTCTTCTTTGACTTGTTTTTGGATCGAAGCCATGGTCTGAAGAAAAGGGGTTCTGAAGGAAGTGTAAGTGAATGATGAATAGGTCCCTACATGGATCTTTTGTGGGATCAGGCTGCAAGGAGGGCAACTATATGGAAAGTCGGGCTATTGTTTTTGCTTTGAGTTCATAAAAGGAAATGTAAGACCTAGTCTGGGTGAGAAACAGAGGCCATTAGCAGATAAAAACTTTGCAGATTATCTGCGGCATCTTATCATAACTTGTTTATGAGCCCAACTGAACAAGCTTAATTTTAGTTTGTGCTGATGCTTTTCATGCTAACTGGAGATTATACTAATGATTTTAATAGCCATGGTTTCTCAAATAGGCCTGCTGCACTGCGTTGGATCCCTTCGTCAAGTGAAATCTGGCAATCTTCAAAAAGCGTCTTGACGCCCACTTGCTGGAGTCATCTGGTCCCATCAGTTTTTCCTGCCCAAGTGCAGGGGGGCTGGACCTGATGATCTATAAGGTCCCTTCTAGCACCTAACAACTATGAAACTATGAAATGTGCAGAATGGTGCCCAGTGCACCTGCACTGTGATGGGACAGTTTTGTGATGAGAGGATACTTCCTCTTCCATCCAGCTGCTGCCCTCTATTATGAGTAACTAGAAAGAGGCCAAATGCATGGGTATCGTGGAACTGTTCACTTCTGTCATCTAAGATGGGAACTGAAACTCCCACCTCCTTTCTCACACCCTTCTGAGCAGCTAACAGATGATCACTGCCAACCCAGGCCGTGTTTGAGCCAATGACTTTGAGATTAAGGTATCCTTTATTCTTTTAGTGGTGATCTTAGTCATCCACACTTGAGGAATACTAATGTAATAATGCACTTTCACTTGTAGGTAAAAAAATCTGGGTCATAGATTGTGGTGAATAACAGGATATTTTCAGAATGTATTGTGATTATTTGGACAGTTGATAAAAATAAAAAATTAGCCCTGGAGGTAAAATGGTGCATGAGTTGAAAAACAAGTGTATATAAAGGCACGAGGCGCAGCTTTAGTAACAGAACAGTAGTGTTATGTTCCAGAGAGCCTTTTGACAGATAGACTTGCTAGTGGATCTACTTATTAGTCACTTGCTAATAAATATTAACCTTCCTTTTCTCCCCTGCCCATAAGAAGATGGAAAGGGCTGCATAACTGTGTATGTAAAATTTGTCATTATACTGAGTGGGTAGATGATTTTGGAGTAATCAACTGAGTTGTACTTTCATAGTTGTTAGGGCCTGGAAGGGACCTTACAGATCATCGGGTCCAGCTCCCCTGCACTTGAGCAGGACAGGCTGCTGGGATTAGACGACCCCAGCAAGATGGGTGTCAAGAGGCTTTTTGAAGATCTAATGAAGTAAGGGGTACCCAAAGCTTTAGATAGGCACTTTCAACATAAAGCAAATACCTAGTCTGGCTTTTCTAAAGTACCTACATTTCACTGAAAGGTACTGTTGAAACTGTTGTCCCTAACTAATAAATGCCATTAGTATGCAGTTCTGTCTCTGCCTTAAAAAAATGCTGTTTTGAATGATCCAGGTGGAACAGATGCAGCATAAAGATTCCCGCATTAAGCTGATGAATGAGATCCTGAGTGGCATAAAGGTGCTGAAGCTGTATGCTTGGGAACTTTCCTTTAAGGAGAAAGTGCTGGAGATACGAAAGAACGAGCTGCATATTCTGAAGAAAGCAGCCTATCTAAATGCTTTGTCCACTTTTGCGTGGGTCTCCGCACCGTTTCTGGTAAGTTGTGTTTCTGTTGCTTGCACAAATAGGCGTGGAAGAGCACAGGTTTGGGGGGTGACATGTAAAGCCCTTAAATAGACTGTCCCACAAGCCAGCAGAACTCCATAAAGAAAGAGAGCCCAGGTATCCTCTGGTAACTAAGAAATCCCCTTTGACTTCAGGACTTTATTTTAACTGTTCTTTAAGTGTGAACATTAAAGCCATAAAATATATTTTTATCAAAACCATTTTCTGACTTTTAGGTTGCACTGACCACGTTTGCAGTCTATGTCTCTGTGGATGAAAACAACGTCCTGGATGCACAGAAAGCTTTTGTCTCCCTCTCCTTGTTCAATATCTTAAGGTTTCCACTCAACATGCTTCCACAAGTCATTAGCAACATTGCACAGGTAAGAGTCATTAGTTGCTTCACCCCCTCCCACTCCCCAGTGTCCTCTGGATTTCAAACTGGATTCTAAGCAATTCTGAATGTCTCCCATTTAGCTTTTATTTTTCTTTCTAATGCTGTTTAATTAACATTGCACAAAATTAGCTAACTGTTCATTGATTAACCATACACAATGTTAGCAAGCTCAGCAATTTCTATGTGAGCTTTCACGTACATGAAATACCACGGACAAATTTTGCCTCCCTTGAGCAAACCTAACTTGCTCTAATGCATTTTCTGAAGTTTAAATTTCAGGGTATGGCCCAACCGAGGAGAAAAATGAATACATTTTTATGAACTACAGGGTAAAAGTGCACAATGTTTTGCCTGTTTCCCATCCTGCAGAGAAGGGAATCATTCCCTGTTTTAAAAAGGATGAAGTGTAATACCTGCTTCTTTCCTTAGACAAGCGTGTCCCTAAAGAGAATTCAGCACTTCCTGTGTCATGATGAACTTGATCCAAATTGTGTGGAAACAAAAAAGATTACTCCAGGTAAAGGCATGTTGTTATATTAATGTAGCACAGAAAAACCAAGTATTTATCATATTTATTTCTTTTTCTAGAAGAATTACCAAAAAAAAAATGTCATTCCAAGGAGTTTGGAAAGGAAGTCCTGTCCTGGGAAGCGATTGTTTGCTCTTATTAAGACAATGAAGAAACATGTTTTTCACTAAACTGCTATGCTGTTGCTTTGAGCATGCATTTATAATTTAACGAGTGCTAACAGCACCCTGTATGGCAGGACATGAGCTGAATTTTTTTCACTTTAGCCAGAAAGACTTTTTCCTATCTTGTGCACTACACAAATGTCTGGGAGGGGAGCTTTTCTTTCTTCCAAGCACTGACTCTTGCCAGTGGCACAGCATCCCAGATTCAGTGGGAAGACCTTCTTATTTTATAAGATTCACTTCGTTCTTACACAGTTCACCACACTGGTACTTTGGATCAAACCCAGCTTTGTCTGGAAGACTGTATCAGGGAAGCAGGGGAGCACTATAACACAGCATGCTATAGAAGTTTTATAGTTTCTAGGGTGGGAAGGGACCTGAACAGATCATCAAGTCCGAGCCCCTGCCCTGGGCAGGAATGAGTGCTGGGATCATAATACCCCAGCCAGATATCTATCCAATCTCCTCTTGAAGACCCACAAGGTGGGGGAGAGCATCACCTCCCTTGGGAGCCCATTCCAGAGCCTGGCAGCACTAAATAAAGTAATCCCTCCTGATATCAAGCCTGAACCTGCTCTCAGTCAATTTGTGGCCGTTATTCCTTGTTATCCCAGGTGGTGCCCGGGGGAACAGAACCTCATCTATTTTCCGCTGGTCCCCCCTGGTGAGTGTATAAACGGCCACCAGATCCCCTCTCGCTCTTCTCTTGTGGAGGTGTCCTGTGATTCTACAGGGGACTGAATAACCCTGCAGAGCTGTAACTTGTTAGAGGAGAAATGTAGAGCTGCTAAGAGGCAGGCCTAATCTTGTCCATCAACTTATTCAGAAAATTGGCATCCTTTTACTGACTCTAGAGTAGTCTCTTGAGTAACATGGTGTAACAATTACATAGGGACATTGCAAACTTTAATGGGCAATTCATTTAATAGAAGCTCTAGGGACCAGTCTTGCCTGGGTTGGCTGAGATTTCCATCTCGGTTCTACATTTCCGTGATTTCACTGGATATGTTTGAGCTGAATCTGGTTCCTTTTACTCTCAGCAGCCTTATCCTGTGGCTGAGCAGATCACCAGCTCTTGCTTCTCATGCTTAAGAAAAGGAAGGTTTCATGTTCCCCGAGTTCCCTTATCCCATAAACAAACAAATCCGTTCTGTCTCCCATCTCAGCAGAAAGGCCTCGCTCAGCACCAGGATATAATATATTTGCTGCCTCCTGTCTTTGCTTTGTTCTACAGGCTATGCCATCACTGTAACAAATGGGACTTTCAGCTGGGCAAAGGAGCTCGAGCCAGCTCTGAAAAAGTAAGATTTCTTTACTGCACAACATCTACCTGATTCCTG